CACTGGTTGATTGTCATACAGAGAGACTAATATCTCTGTTCGAAGAAGGCTCCTTGAAGTTGGCAGAACTGCCAGAAAGCCTATAAAGAAACAAATATTGACTGTTGCTATGAAAAAAAAACGGCTGTGGTGGGTACTCGATCATAAGTGATAGACGACAGATGAATGGAGAGGTTATATTTTCTGATAAGGTGCATTTTGAAGTACGTGAGTACAGATGAAACGGGAAAAAGACGAACCTCTTCGGATTGGACACATTCAACAAGCGCCAGAACACCCACATAAGAAGATGTTTTGGAGTAGTTTTATTGCTTAGGGCCCTGGACAGCTTGTTATTTTTGATGGAACGATTGACAGTGAGGAATACAAGGTAATTCTGGAAACTCATATGCTTCCCATTGTGGATAAAGAGTTTCCTGGTGGAGAAGGCATTTTCCAGCAGGATATTGTTCCATTTCACATATTCACGAAAATGCTGACATTCTTCGAAGAGAGTGGGCTGGAAACTCTTCCGACTTCAACTCTACTAAGAATCAAACTCAGCATCGCGAAACGGAATTGTTCAACTGTGGAGAAGCTAATTCCTGCTGTTATTAGGATCTGATACCACGACGAAGAACTTGCTAAAATGTGTTCAACATTGGTCGATTCTATGCCAAAGCGTGTAGCGTGTAGTCATATCTATTATTAAATCAATTAATCAATTATCTGTCATATCATTGCGAATTCCTTGCATTGTTAAAATCTCTAGTAAGGCTGATGCATGCAAGGGATGAGATGAAAAGTTATAAGCCTTCTCCCTGAAAGCTGGCTGCCTTGGATCAAAACGTCTAGCTCAAGCTGGACGCCAAGGTATTGGTCCAGGGTGGTGAGATTTGAATAGCAATGCGTACCTTGTTCCAAGGTTCGTAGGTTCGAGTCTCCTTCAGCCAGAGATCAGTGTTTATATATATATATATATATATATATATATATATATATATATATATATATATATATATATATATATATATAATATATATAATATATATATATGTCGTGCCGAATATGTAAAACTGGTCAATTAGCAAGAACTCATTTAAAATTAAGTCCTTTCTAAAATTTTTTCTTATACGTTTAAAGATATATTTTTTTCATTAATATTGATGTAAAAATTTTTAATTTTGCACCAGAAGGAACTTAGAAAACTTACCTAACCTTATTATAACAAGAACAATTTATTTTAGCCTAACCCAACTAAATATATTTTAGATTTGTTTACAATAATTTAATACTAAACAAACACAGTGAAATATATTTTTTTCGTTAGGTTCAGAATGATTTTGGTGAAATTATTGCATACACAAATTTTCACTTGTCCTATATGGCAAGATGAGCGTTGCTATTTAAGCCAAGATCGCAAGTTCTGCCTATTCGGCACGACATATATATATATATGTTATATATAAAATATATATATATATATATATATATATATATATATATATATATATATATATATATATATATATATATATATATATATATTATTGTATGTTATTTCCATAATATCATAATGAACATATGACAGGGCAGTTCTAGGTCTGTCTTATATTTTCAAACAATTATGTTCTTCATGTGAGTTCTCTGATGCTCGTGAAGGCGCTTAATTCAAGGAAATAACATAAGAAAGAAGAAGTACTGCAGCAATCCTACTGGCCCGTGGTAGGCACGTCTAACTCATACCGAAGCATACTCATTCATAATGTTGTTTAACATATTATTAAAGCTACACAGTTTTAGCTCCAGTGACACTACTCGGGAGTTTGTTCTACTCATTCACAATTTTATTACAAAACCAATGCTTTCCTATATTCTTTCTAAATCTAAACTTTCCCAACTCGATCCCATTGCTGCGACTCCTGTCCTGTTTGGATATTTTTTACGTTTTATTTGGATCCCTCTTTATTGATCTATAACTCACTATGATAACACGAACGTAGATAAGTATGTTTATGGAGCAACTTGCAACGTGAACAGACTGACTGATGTTGTAGTGGCCAGGCTTAGGCTTGGTTACAAGTACTGACTGATGATGTTGTAGTGGCCAGGCTTAGGCTTGGTTACAAGTACTGACTGATGATGTTGTAGTGGCCAGGCTTAGGCTTGGTTACAAGTACTGACTGATGATGTTGTAGTGGCCAGGCTTAGGCTTGGTTACAAGTACTGGCAGTTTGGGAGACACACAGATGATGATCAAATTAAATGCAAATTATGTGATCAGGCATATGGTCACTGTCTTGAAACTATGTGCGTAATTGTCCACCTATTGAAGAATACAGAGATAGACAGTATAATAACCTATGTGACATGTCAAGATATCTTATTAATGAAATAAGATATCAGATATACTAAGCAAATTTCCTAAATTTGCCTGTAACAGATAAGAGAGCTGTAGATATAAATTAAAATATACACCTGTTAACCCTTTTGGGGCCTAGTTCCTAGGCCTTTTGTGTATCCAAATGCTCTTGCGCTACCTCCCACAAGATGGATATGGGGTGCACAGTAAACTAGCCACTTCGGCGGCAAAATCTATCTAAAATCTTTTTCCAGCTTTTCATTTATACACCACAATCATATCTTCCCTTTTCAGAGAGTGCAGATTCAGTACCCTCAGTCTATCCTAATAGGTATGATTTCTAATATATTGGATCAATTTGGTCATCCATCTCTATACGTTTTCCAGCTCGTTTATGTCCATTCTGTAATACGGTGACCAGAACTGCGCAGCTTAATCTAGACGAGGCCTAACCAACGATATACAGAGCTGAAGTAAAGCCTGAAAATTCCATCTGTTTACAGAGCTGCTCTCCTCTTTCTTCGATCAAACGTCATTACTTCCCATTCCCCAGGTGGCTGTATGACCCCCTACAGGTATAACTTTCCTCCGTGCAAAAAATAATAAGCAACCATAACTAATTTTACATTCACGGAAGAACACTAAATCCGCCGTATCATATATGAGGTAATGAGGTCTAACCCGAGGAAAGGAAGGCTACTTTCACTTTTAAAAGATTGAGGAGGAGGAGGATGAGGAAGATGGATAAAGGAAGATAATTAGAAATAGAAGAGGGAGAAAGAAGGTAATAAAGAAGGGCTAAATAAAACTCAGGCGAACAAACCGTCTTTATTTTATCACTCACACATCATGTTGTAATAAGTAAGCGTTTTTTTTTTATTTTCGTCGTACCCAAAGAAACAAGACCCAAACACGAAGCACACACATAGTCCTCTCCCGCTCCTCTACGGGAGGGGGGAAGGGGGGTGGGGGCTCCACCACCCCTACATGTGCTCCTGCTTGAAGGGTAGGGGGGAATATATATTTGGGATATGTATGTATGTGTGTACGTATGTATAAAAGGTTAGTACATATACATATACATATACATATGCAAGTAGGTGGTAACGCTCTGGTTGGTTGTCCTCAGCCCCACTACATGTTGCTTAAAAATCATTGATGGAGTTTCCCTAAAAATTACTTTTTTTTTTTTTTATGTGTGTGTTTTAGTTTTCCAAAAAATCTGTTCTTTTAGATGTTCTTACCCGGCCCATCTGGCGGCGGAAATTAACCACGAGTGGAGGGATAAGCTGGGAGAGTCCTCCATATTTAGTACATTTTAGGACCATTTTTAAAGTTTTAACCAACTATAAAAAACCAATATAATAAATTTGAATGTTAACTGAAGCATGGCAGATTTGTGGGGTGAAAGCTTATTATTTTGTAAATATAGAATATGAGAGGGATAGTGTCTCTCCTTGTGGTAAGCCGCAACCAACCTCTCAGAAAGGGCTCATGTTTCCGTAAGGGGGCCACCTGAACGGCGCGCGACTGGCTAACTAAATTCCTCAACTTAGGCAGGACCTCACCAGGGCGGCACGTGAGTGGTGAGCCAGATGGGGGGGCTCCGGAAGAACAGCCAATGACGGGGGGGGGGAGGGAAAAGGGGAGGAGGGGCATAGGCAGTGTATTTAAGGAGTTGGTGATATGGGGGGGGCGGGGTCGTAGGATGAGAGAACTCCAAAAGAGGATTTAGGAACTATAAAAAATCTTTGATAATAACTGGATGACAATTTGTGATTTTGATGATCTAAGTAATGTAATGGATGTCGAAGACTACAAGTGACAAAACATAAATAAAAGTAGATCTCAGGGGATATAAGGATGCCCACTTTGCAGTCTTGCTAAAAAAACAAAACCACAATTGCATCTTTCCCTTTCAGGTGACTTCTCGACCCTAAGCTCCTTGATAGTAGCGTAAGCTTCGATGAAGTTTAAAGAGGGTAGATGATTAATGGGTTTTAATTTTAAAAATGGTATAAGCGAGAGGATGGAGAAATCAGAATTAAAAGGGGATCTCCCCAAAACGCAGACGTTGCAGTGTATAAGGAAAGGGAGTGAGGAAAATCGGGGAAAGGAAGAGGATAACTGGGGGGAGGTGGATGGAAAGGGGCGCCGGGGGGGGAAGGGTGTAATATGTCTGCAGAAAATCACAAATCACGGTGAATATTAACCAGAGAGATTTTGATTCGTGGACTAAACGGATCGTTTGTAGGGATACGAACTGGTGACCACACAGCACCGTATTTATCACAAGTATCGAAAAATAGCCAACAGTACAACTATCAGAAACAATGAAAGAAGAAGTGTTTTAGGACTTTGAGTGAGCACGTTGTATGAAAATATCTATTTCGTATCTGGACTAACAGTATAGAATTTCTCTACTACAGAAATCTAGTATAAATGCAATATTTACACTGACTAAAACATCATTGCTCACTGAATCTATTTTTTCTATTTTTTTTTTTTTTGGTTGATCATCACTGAAGCACTTGTCTTTGACCCTCTTTGAGGGTTTCCGGCGTGACATTTCAGCTATGTCACACACACACACACACACACACACACACACACACACACACACACACACACACACACACACACACACACACACCACACACACACACACACACACTCACACACACTCACACACACATACACACACAAACACACACGTTTAGGTTTGGGTGAGTTTGTGAAGGGTGGGCAAGAGAGGTGTATTATGGAGATACCAAGAAATTGGTTCACAGCTACTAGAAAACTTTTCTTAAGCACAAACGTCCATTGTAAAATAGGTTGTGATGATTGGTACAAAGGTGAGGTGGTGGTGGTTGTGGTGGTGGGGGTGATGGTGGTAGTGGAGGTAGTGGTGGTAGTTGAGGGGAAGAGGGAGAAAGGAGGTTACTGCTGGTAGTTATAGAAGTGATTATGAGGGGGGGGGGAAGTGTTTGGGGGTAGTGATCATGACGGTACTAGACGTAGTAGTGGCGGTGGAGGTGGTGATAGTGGTGGTGGTGGTGGTAGTGGTGGTGGAGGTGGTGAGTGCTGCTGCCGGATCATAGGTACTCCACAATATCACACTTGATAGTAATGTTGGGGCAGGAGGACATGGTGAAGTCCCTGGCGTGGCCGTGATAGCCACGTTGCCTCTCGCTCAGCAGTTTCTGGAAGATGGGCAGTATCGACGTGTCGTGATCCAGCGCGTTGTCCGACGCGTTCTTCCTTGCAGCGGCGATGGCTGCGGCGACGGAAGTGGTCGTTGCGTGTCGCGCGTGGTGCGAACGACCTCGTAGTGAATGCGTACTGAAGCCAACCAGAGAGGAGGTATCGTAGGAGTTGTCATATGATGGGGTTCTCACTGGAGGCAGCCTCGCTCTGTTGCCTCTTAGTTGCTGGTGTTGCAGGAGCTGCTCTTGCTGCTTTGCCTGCTGCTGCAGCATCAGCAGGTGCTGCTGCCCTGGTCCGTCTGAGTCGTCGTCGTCGAAGTTATAATAGGGCTCACTGATGGTGCGGTGAAGGCTGTTCGGCTCTGTGGCAAATACAAGCAAGTACAAGGTATTATTAGTCAGTAACTCGTAGATACTTTACCATGAGTACCCATTATTACAGTACTATCTACAACAACTACTACCCCTATTACTACTTCTGCTGCTGCTACTAATACTATGTGCTACAGCTGCTGCTGCTGCTGCTACTGTTGCTACTACTGCTACCACAACTACTGCTTTTACTTAACCATTATCGGGTAGTTTTCAAGTCCAGTTTTTGGGACATTTGTGATTTGCTTAGCCTACTTTGATGTTTGTGTTTTATGCATGCTGTTCTGTACTCAACCATTTTCCCACCTACCCATCTCGCTCCATACCCAACAAAAACTGAATGGGTCAACGGAAAGAGCTTGAGAATAATGCAGTAGATGGATAGGAAACCAGTATAGGAACCGTGTCAACTAAGGCCTTATTAGATATTTAAATAAGCTAGAAATGCATAGATACATAAGTTAGGAAGGAGGAGGAAAGAAACTTAAAAGAAGAATTAGTGAACAAGTGTAAGGCGAAACCAACTCTGTTTAGTTGCCAATGAACACTAGATGTCAAAGATAAAATATAAAAATGTTGACAATCACGGAATCAAAGTAAAATCAGAGTAAAATTATAAATAAAAACACATTTCGGAGTTTGTTTACTGAGTAGAATACAGTGGAAGTCGCAGACTTTAACCACAGTTGAAATTAAAGATATGACGATACTCGACTGGGAGAGAAAAGAAACTACTCTTGAATTTGCAAATACAGTGGACCCCCGGTTAACGATATTTTTTTAATCCAGAAGTAAGTTCAGGTGCCAGTACTGACCGAATTTGTTCCCATAAGGAACATTGTGAAGTAGATTAGTCCATTTCAGACCCCCCAAACAACCGAAAACACAGGTTTTTTGGGGGGGGGCCCCAAAATTTTTTTTTAAAAAAGGGGGGGGTTTTTAAAAAAAAACCCCCCCCAAACCTTTTAAAACCAAAAAAAAAAATTTTTAATTTTTTTTTTTAAAAAAATTTTTTTTTAAAAAAAAATTAAAATTTTTTTTAAAAAATTTTTTTAAATTTTTTTTAAAAAAAGGGGGGGGGAATTTTTCCCGGGGGGGTTTTTTTTTTTTTTAAAAAAAGGGTTTAAAAATTTTTTGGGGGGGGGAAAAGGAAAAAAAAAAAAAGGTTTTTGGGGGGGTTTTTTTAAAAAAAAAAAAAAACCGGGGGAAAAAAAAACCCCCCCCCCCTTTTTTAATTTTTTTTTTTAAAAATTTCCCCCCCCCCTTTTAAAACCCCCCCTTTTTTTTTTTAAAAAACCCCCCCTTTTTTTAAAAATTTTTTTTTTTTTCCAAAAAAAGGGGGGAAAAAAACCCCGGGCCCAAAAAAAAAAAAAAAAAAAAACCCCCCCCCTTAAAAAAAATTTTTTTTTTAAAAACCTTTTCCCCTTTCCCCCTTTTTTTTTTTTTTAAAAATTTTTTAAAAAAATTTTTTAAAAAAAAATTTTTTTAATTTTAAAAAAAAAATAAAAAAAAAAAAAAAAAATTTTTTTAAAAAAATTTTAATTTAAAAAATTTTTTTTAAAAAAAAAAAAAAAAAAAAAAAAAAAAATTTGGGGAAAAAAAAAAAAAAATTTTTTTAAAAAAAAAACCCAAAAAAATTTTTAAAAAAAAATTTTTTAAAAATAAAAAAAAAAAAAAAAAAAAAATAGTAGGTGGGGGACTTTTTATGGAGGATGGGGAGACGGGTGGGGGAGGGTGTGATGGAGGATGGTTGGATGCTGGTGAGGAAGTGGGAAGGGGGGTGGGGGAAAGTACTAGGTAAAGTGTGAGGGAGGATGGGGGAGTAGCTAGGTGGGGGACGTTGGGGAGGGAGGGTGGAGTAGCTAGGTGGGGACGTGTGATGGAGGATGGGGAGTAGCTGGGTTTGAGGACGTGGTGGGGGGATGGGGAGTAGCTAGGTGGGGGACGTGTGTTTGGAGGATGGGGGGAAGCTAGGTGAGGACGTGTGAGGGGAAAATTGGAGAAAGCTAGGGGGGACGTTTTGATGGAGATGGTGGAGTACTAGGTAAAGGACTTTGATGGAGGAGGGTTGGAGTAGCTAGGTGGGGGACGTAAATGGATGATGGGGGGAGTAGCTAGGTGAGGACGTGGATGGAGGATGGTGGAGTAGCTAGGTGGGGAACCGTGTGATGGAGGATGGTGGGTAGCTAGGTGGGGGACTTGTTATGGATGAGGGGGAGTAGTAGGTGGGACGGGTGATGGAGATGGTGGAGTAGCTGGGTGAGGACTGGAGGGGGAAAGGGGGGAGAAGCTAGGTGGGGGACGTTTTAGGGAGGATGGTGGATACCCTAGGTGGGAACGGGGTGAGGGAGGAGGGTTGGAGTACTAGGTGAGGAGGGTGGATGGAGGATGGAGTAGCTAGGTGAGGACGTGTAAAGAAGATGGTGGATAGCTGGGTTTGGGGGTTTTTGTGATGGGGGAAGGTTTGGAGAGCTAGTGGGGGAACGGGGTGATGGAAGGGTGGAGAAAGCTGGGTTTTGGGACGTGTATGGGGGGATGGGGGAGAAAGCTGGGTGAGGACGGTGAGGGGAGGAGGGGGGGTGAGTGGGCTTGGTGAGGAAACGGGGGAAAAATGGAGGAAGGGGTGGAGAAGCAAGGTGAGGACGTTGATGGGAGGGTTGGAGTAGCTAGGTGGGGACGTGTGATGGTTTAATGGGGGTTAAGCTAGGTAAAGGACGTGGGAATGGGGATGTGGGAGTGTTAGGGGAGGGGAGGTTGGGGTGGTTTGGAGGAGGGTGGATACTGGGGAAGGACGTTTTATGGGGTTTGGTGGATAACCTAGGTGGGGAAATGTGAGGGGAGATGGGGAGTAGCTAGGTGGGGAAACGTGTGATGGAGGAGGGGTGGTAGCTAGGTGGGGGACGGTGTTTGGAGGATGGTGGAGTAGCAAGGTGGGGACGTGTGATGGAGGATGGGGGTAGTTTAGGTGAGGCCCGTTTGATGGGGGAGGGGTGAGTACTAGGTGGGGGACGTGTGAGGGAATGGGGGAGTAGTTTGGGTTGAGGACGTGTGATGGATGATGGGGGAAGTAGCTAGGTGAGGACGTGTAAAGGAGGAGGGTTTGGAGTAGCTGGGTGAGGGACGGGGTGAGGGAAAGGAGGGTGGGAGTAGCGGGTGAGGACGTGTGATGGAGGATGGGGGGGGAAAGGAAGGGGGCTAGGTGAGACGGGGTGATGGAGGATGGGGGGTAGCTAGGGAGGGACGTGTGGGGATGGGGGGATTGGGGGGAGGGGTGGGAGGGAAAAGGCTAGGTGGGGAAAGTTTTATGGGGATGTTGGATTAGCTGGGTGGGGGACGTGTGAGGAAAAGGGGGGGAGTAGCAAAGGTGAGGACGTGTGAGGGAGGATGGTGGAGTAGCTAGGTGGGGGACGTGTAAATTGGAGGATGGTGGATTTGGGGGCTTAGGTTTGGGGAACGGGGGTGGTTTGGGGGAAGATGGGGGGAGTATTTTTGGGTTTAGGACGTGTAAAGGGGGGGAGGAGGGGGAAAAGAGTGGGGGGCTAGGTGGGGACTTTGTGATGGAGGAGGGTGGAGTAGCAAGGTGAACGGGGTAAAGGAAATAAAAAGGGAGTGCTAGGTGAGGACGTGGGGAGGGCTGATGGTGGAGTAGCTAGGTGAGGACGGTGATGGAGGATGGGGGAGAAAGCTAGGGGGGGACGTGTGAGGGATAAATGGTGGGAGTAGCTAGGGAGGACGTGTGGGGAGGATGGTGGAGTAGTAGGGAGGACTGTTGATGGAGGAGGGTTTGGAGTAGCTAGGTGGGGGCCCTTGTGAGGGATGAGGGGGAAAGAAAGCAGGTGAGGACGTGTGAGGGAAAGGGATGGGGAGTACAGGTGGGGGACTGTGATGGAGGTTTGGGGGAGAAGCTAGGTGGGACGTTTAAAGGGAGGATGGTGGAGTACTAGGTGAGGACGTGTAAAGGGGGGAAGTGGAGAAAGCTAGGGGGGGAAATTTGGGGAAGGAAAGGATAGGGGAGTACGGGTTTGGGGGGCGTGGGGATGGGGGGATGCGGGAGTAGCGGGGGAGGGTGTTGAGGAGGATGGTGGAGTAGCTGGGTGAGGGCGGTGATGGAGGATGGTGGAGTACGGGGAGGGCGGTGATGGAGGAGGTGGAGTACTAGGTGGGGACTTTGATGGAGGATGGTGGAGTAGCTGGGTTTGAGGAGGGTTGAGGGGAGGATTGGGGAGTGCGGGTGAGGACGGGATGGGGGAAAGGGTGGGATTTGTGAGGGTGGGGTGATGGAGGATAGTGGATTTAGCTAGGGGGGGGCGTTTTATGGAGGATGGTGATACAGGTGAGATTTGTGTGATGGGGGAAAAGGTTTTGGAGTGGGCTAGGGGGGCTTTGATGGGGGAAAGGTGGAGTACTGGGTGAGGGCGGTGATGGGGGAAAGGGTTTAGAGCTAGGTAAGGACGGTAAAAGGGAGGATGGGGGAGTAGCTAGGGGGAGGGGGGTTTTGATGGAGGATATTTGGAGTAGCAAGGTGAGGGTGTGATGGAGGATGGGGGGAGACTAGGTGGGGGTTTGGTGTGGAGGATAGTGGAGTACCCTATGGGGCGGGGGTGGGGGAAAGGGGGGAGTACTAGGTGAAAACGTGTGATGGGGATGGTGGAGTGGGCTAGGTGAGGGAGGGTGTGTGGAGAGGGTTTAAAGTGCTGGGTTTAGGGTGTGTGATGGAGGTAGGGAGTAGCTGGGTGAGGGCGTGTGAGGGAGGTGGGGAGTAGCTAGGTGGGGATTTGGAGGGGGAGGAGGGGGTGGGTAGCTAGGGGGGAGGGGTTTTATGGGGGAAAGGTGGAGAAGCTAGGTAAAGGGAAACGGGTAAAGGGGGGAAAGGTGGAGTAGCTGGGTTTGGGGGAAACGTGGGGATGGAGGATGGGGGAGTAGCTAGGGTGAGGAGGGGAATGGGAAGGGGGGGGGGAGTAGCGGGTTAAAGGAGGGTGTGATGGAGGGA